TCTGACAGCAAAATACTCTTTCCTTTTGCTCCTAAAAGCTGCAATGCATTTTAAACTCTTTAGCTTGACTAGAAGTGGTTGAACCAATTACACATCCCTAATTGTTATGAGCATGCCAATCACAATACCACCACTTTGGTCTCGAACGTTGGAACTCTTAAATTTTCCCTTACAAAAGATTTCTGCATGTATGCCAATATAGACTAACAAGGGGATATGGACTTTCATCAAAATAAGATAAATCTGTGATTTTTTTAAAATTCAAGGGAATTTAATATTAATTTCATCCAAGATAGATAGGTCTATAAAACAACAAACATTGTAGATAAATTTGTACAAAACAGCAGCCGGTGTTTCAAAATTCCACATAGCAAATCTGAACAATATAAACCGTCATTCTTTGTAAAAACATTTTTTTATTGGAATAGACTACCAAACCATCTCGTGTGTACCAATACAATTGAGAGCTTTAAAACTTCGGTTGCTCTCACATCGTTGGACTAATTTTCCAGCGCCTCTCTTCCGTTGGCGTTGCCATTGATGCCTATCCTGGCCCTGCAACGTACTTATTCAGATTCAGGTCTATGTCTGTTGAAACAATAATCCAGGATGACGATGGTTCTAACGAACATTGATGTGATCGTGGTCATCTAAAGACAGATTTTTACATCGCGATGACCTGGAGGTCATTCCGATGTATTGCTATCGCCTAGATTTCCATTATGTAAATTAGTTTTGGGTTTGTAACCGATCTATAAAAAAGATAAATATGCGCACATAAACGAGTGCAAAATAACATTCCTTGTCATTTGATATAAATACATCTCTTCAATGAATACTGATAAAAATATTTTTGTTTACAACATAAATTAATAATGTGAAAATGTTTTGTAGTTAGATATATATATATATAAGTAAAAAATCATTGATAAAATCAATGCACACGTACCGAAAAATTGTGTTAAAGCATGCGGAAGAATATCTCAAAGAACGTTTTGCGACAGGACCGGTAACTCTGTAATTGTTTTTGCGGGAAAATATGAATGCCTACTCGTATCCAATCTTAGAAAAATCGAATTTTTACAGAAAAGTGTCCACCATGCACTTGCATTGCACTATTATTAGAACAGTAGAATAGAATGATATACAAACGGATGCAAATCATATATATATGTAACTGTTATTTTAATATAATATATAACAACAAATCAGTGTATACTGATTTGTATCACTACAATATAATAGTTATTACGGTGAAGTTGAATTTCCTGTCATTTATTCATCATACTCGCACGCACTTGTCTAGAAAAAAATATATCTCTGTACATTAACCTCAGTTTCAGGTAAAGAGATATGTTGTTTTTTTTTCTGAGACAAGTGCTTTTGACCATCCTCAAGAACTTGTGGTCATCCGATGTTCAGTACTTCAGTACTTTGATTAATATTTGTCTCCTCGAACAGGTCTTCATAGATAAAACGAGATGCAATTCGGATAACTGTGTGTTCAGTAACTACTTGTCCACGACAATGAGCTGACACAACTACATGTTGGCATCCTAATTTTTGACCTTTTATTTACAATTCGATTTATCACACGTGCGTTTGAATCGAAAAGAGCAATATATGCACAAGAAAAACGTCTATGTGAAAAAAAAAATTTCAAATTGAAACAAAATTTGGAGCGGCATGCGGCCCAAAAATTTGCGGAAGCGGTAATTTTTTTTATTTATTGAAAAGTCAATTTCTCCAAAACAGGAGCGGGTAAATCCAAAGAACTATTAATCAAATTGGTGTGGCCTTATTTCTCTTTTTTTCATGTTTTTTTTTAAGGGGGTTTGCTTATTGTTGAATATCGTACAGGAACCGATATTTGCTTACTTCCACGTCATTCGGGACTCTGGTGGATAGTTGCATCATTGTCAATCATATAACACGTCTCATTATTTTTAAGTAGTTTCTTTGCATGGCAAATATTACTTTCACCGTTAAATTTTATATTCAGTTGTATCTGGCAAAAATCCATTCAATAGCTTTTCTCCGTGTGGAAGGTTACATGATAGATGGTTAGTTTTTCGCGAGTTACATACAGACTTGACGTTCGTGATAAAGAACCGCAATTTAAGTCTTTTACATAAAGAATATACCGTTTGTTGGCTCATGTATATATTCGCTTCATTTCAATCATTTTTTTTTATAAAAATCCATTTAGATAGGTCTGAAAGACTTAACCCTATATCTTCTGAATAATCAAATAAACTTATAATAATATGTCTCGCCTTTGTAACCTAATTACAACTTTAACAATTATCGACCCTGTCGTTGCAAGCGAAACAGACACAACTAGATATCATTGAGATGGGAGCCATCTCTGTGGGCCCAGCTGTGAATAATGTGTGGTAAAAAATTTGTATCTTTATCATTGGACATGGGGTTGTCAACTGAAACCAAAGTTTTTGACCTTGACCTTTGACCTAGGAAGTTGTACATAAATTATGACACACCCTCTGGTGTTGGTTTATATACATATCAAGTATAAACTTTGAAATCATAACGGTTCTCAAGATATTGAGCGGACACGATCTTTACCATAGGACATGGGGTTGTCAACTGAAACCAAAGTTTTTGACCTTGACCTTTGACCTAGGAAGTTGTACATACATTATGACACACCCTCTGGTGTTGGTTAATATACATGTCAAGTATAAACTTTGAAATCATAACGGTTCTCTAGATATAGAGCGGACACAATTTGTTACGGACGGATAGACGGACGGACGAACAGACGGACTGATCACTATAGGGCGTCCGCCATTCGGCGGGGCCCTAATTAAAATGTCAATTGTTCTTGAATATTTGATAGGTCTTTCTTTTCAAATTGCAAACTTTATATTCAAATAGACTTAAATTGCATTAAAAATCTTTGAAATAAAACATAAAACCCTTAAAAAAGGGTCAAAAACACAAAGTGCATTATCTAGGACGTTACCTTGACCTTAATAAAGGTCATTGGTCAACGATGGCATTGCATAAGTCCACAATGGTCTAGGACCTTCGGTTTAAAAGCAATTATACATAAAATTGTCTCAACAAAACGTCAATGGGGGTTATACCCCTTAAGGAAAAGTCGAGTATCTTCGGTCAAAATATACTAAAGTTGCCCCTTAAGTAAGTATAATGGCGTCTGTGATTATCCCATCAATTGGTATAAAACTAAAGGTCAACCTAAATATTTACATAAATTGATGATCATTGGTGAAGATCCTAGGTGTCTACGACTTTCGGTTTCTGAGTTATAGTAGCCAACCTACATCGGTTAATTTTCAAAGGGGCATAACACTACCAAGGAGTCTGAATTTTTCGATCCCAATGTAACGAAGTAGCAGGGTAAGTTCTTGGACCAATTCCACTCTTTTGTTTTTGTGTACCTATTACGATTACGGTGTTCGATAACAAGGTTTTTCGGTTTCGTACAGATAACCGACCAAATTTACGATGCGATCTGGATAGAGATTTATGACATGGATACAAAGTGTGAACCTTATTGCGATTACGGAGCCAATTTTATCAAAGTTTTGGGGGATAAGAATAATAATCAGAAGAAATACAGTAAGGAAATACCTCAATAATGCAATCGTATAGTATCTAGAGTAACTTACTTTACGTCTAACTGTAATATAAAAATAAGGAGATGTGGTATGATTGCCAATGAGACAACTATCCATCAAAGTTAAAATGAAGTGGATGTAAGCAATTATAGGCAACGGTACGGCCTTCAACAATGAGAAAAACCCATATCGTATAGTTGGTTTTAAAAGGCCCCGATATGAAAAATATCAAACAATTCCATTGAGAAAACTAATGGCCTTATTTATAACAAAACAATTTACGAAAGATAAATATGACAGACACGAACCAACGACAACCACTGAACTACAGGTTCCTGACTTGGGACAGGCACATAAAGAATGTGGCGGGGTTAAACATGTTTGTGAGCGCTCAACCCTCCCCTTACACGGAACAGTGGTGTAATAGCACAACATAAGAACAAACTATAAAAATCAGTTGAAAAAGGCTTAACTCATCAGATCAATACAAAGAAAAACATCAAACAAAAACACATACAGGACGTGGCAGGGTATATATCTATCCCTCATCCCTAACAACAAAAAATCACTAAGTACAGATCTGAGAGTAGTCGCAGTTACTGACAGCTAGTTCAACTAATAAAAAAAATCATGTATCTGAGACTAAAATATCAATCAGTACACATCCAATAAAGGATTGATAAGTTTAGCCGGATCGTATCTAAATTTTCGGGCTCGGTTAACAACATCACCGTAAAATTTAGGATGTACTATTCCGTAAACATGCCAGTTTAGAAGTTTATTTACAAAAAGTTGCAACAAAAAAAAAAAATGCAAATTTTATCAATTTATTTTAACCATAAAATTAAATATATTTTGTTATCCAATGTCTGTACTAGTACAACCGAATGGTTACATAATGTCCACTAGTTGCAATAAAAGCTGCCAATTATTTTTTTTGCATTGTCTTCCTTCTTTCTGAAATAAAGAATAAAAATTGATACTAATTGTCTCAAAATAAGCTATTTTCATTTGACTTCAATAAAAGTATTGCCAACAACAGAAAATCCTGTCTATCATTTAAATAGTTAGAAGACTATAGTGAATAAATCAAAATTAAATGGTTATACCTGTAAAATTACATCATTCCCAATCAAACACGCAAGCGAACAATCGAATAGATTATGCATTTTACTGTCGGATTTCAATGCATTACAACAACATAACAACTTAAATCTGTTATCTCACAGTTTACATTGTATTCATGTACCTTAACATGAAATAATCTACTACTCAACCGGTTTTTATTTTCTCAAATTGTCACTTTAACATGTACTGGTACTTGCTATCGCTCCCTTACTCTCTTTCACTCTAACCATCGAACTGTGCATATATTGCAAATTAAAACCTAGTTACCTAAAAAGATTTCCCTTCACTGCTAAGAGGTTTTTGATTTCCCACATTTTCCACATCCACATGCAGTGGTACATGCGCAGGAATCTCCACATGAACATTCTCCTCCTGCTGAACAACTACAGGATCCTTTCATCTTAAGGCAAGCACAGCTATCTCCACACTGACAGTTGTCTCCACATCCACATTTGTTTTCTGTTGTTAGACGACATGTTTTTTCTACAGAAAAGAAAGTAGACTTTGTCATATTTACTGATGAAATAAATTAAGTATGCATTAATAACCCCACCCCCCCCCCCCCCCCCCCCCCCCAGTAATGTGATCATGACCAAGGAGAAACACTAAGTTTACCACAGTCAAGACTCAAGACGTCTCTGCAAGATTTTATATACAGCGTACTCACAAATATTCATACAAGTGTATTCATCTACAAATGTCTCTAAATCAAAATCTTCATAGACTTTCTTATTCAAAGACCTGAAAGTTCAATAATATACAACGGTTGATCCAGTACAGCTAGTTTTGTTAAAACGTATACCCCATTTCAATTTAACGTTTTTTTTGTTTTTTTTTTAATTCGGTTTAACTTATTTGTTGCTTATCGGAAACATGTATTTCTCTGTCTGCTTTTCCTTCTGTTATAAAATCAAATTTCAATTAAGGAAACGTATGCAATATACTCAGTCAGTAAAAACCTACAGAAAAGTTATAAAATGATTGTTTTGACAAGAGTATAAGTGGCAGAAAAGGGTAGGAAGGTGACTAGAACACTTACGAGTTGTTTTTGAATTTGTTGATCAAAAAGAGTTTTGCCGTTAAAAAGTATTTGAAAAAAATTTGGAAAAAAAGTAGTTTTTAATGTTCACAGTATACGATCAAGTGCATGTATTAAGGGGATTTTTTTAAGGCCAATACAAATTATCTTTTCTCCCTCTATCCCCAATTGCGACGAATTTGCAAAAGATATTTCCTGTAATTATGTAAATAAGCCGGACATTATTAGTGGACATCAATCTCCTAATACACAAATATTTGACCCGGATTTTGTTGAAAACATATTTTTCAAAATGTTTGTTTACTAACGGAAATTGTCATTTGAAGAACAAATGAACATGTTATTGCTTTAAGATAGCATGTATATAAATGATTTGTTTACGTTAAAAAAACCAACAGGTATTAAATCTTGAGGACAACATACCAAACATGTCTGACATATCTATCACGTAATATGCCTGAAGAAGTATGAATTGAGTAATCTCAGGAATCTTGTTTTCCCGCCAATTAATTCTATTAAATTACCAGTTGAAATAGAATTAAAAAAAAAAAACAGTATTAAATTTTTTTGAAAATGAATATTCTGACCTGGTACGAAATAAATGAATAATATTTGCCAAGCAGAAAATATACTGAATATTCTGCAACACTAAAATGCAGCCATTAGAAGGAAACAATTCTTGATACAAAATAGAAAATATTTTTTCATGCCAAAAAATAAGCGAGCCTCGCAAAAGGTGAAACTAAATATTACGTCAGAAAACTGCCCCCTCCCCCGACAATTTAAAATGGTCTAACCAAAAGATAAAAAAAAGGTGAAGACATGATTTTGTACATGACGTTTTCTGCGGAACTATATATATATATATTCTTAAACAAAAAGATCACCTGCATTTAAAGTACTATCAGAACTAATAAATGTTTATTTATATTCTTTTAACCTATATTAACATTATACATTATTACTAGAAATTATTGAATTGTATACATACCAGCTGAAGACATTTTCAAGTGGTGACTGATTAAAACTGCACTGTTAGATATTAGTGTCTTTCTCTTTTTGGAGTTTCGGTAAGAATTGTAAACCAAGCCCGAAAACACTCTTAATATAAAATCCAACCAGACACCACGTGTGTAAATCCAAAATACCGTGTGCAAAGACATTAACGAATACAAATTGTCCCGCCATGATAACCGGAAAAGTACTTAGCGCCGTGTGCAGAAAACAGGTATGGCCAGCTTGTCCATAAATAAATATTCCCACCTAATGTTAGTCAGAAAATGTCACTTATAACCGGTCAACCACCGGCTGAGCAAGATTAATAATTCGTAATGAATTTACAAGATGGCCTTGAAGACACACACAGTGCAACAAATAAACAATAAAGATGGCCTTCAGCAAGAAGTAACATGCGATTGAATAATAGATGTTCGCATTATCATTTTTAGTATTCATTTTCATGACATTTCATATACCTTGTATTAATTTTATGTCATTTATTGCTCGTTTGTCAAAACTTTTCAATCTAAAGTATTCATGAATATGATTTTGGTAGAAAAGTTTAAAAATCTTATAATTTATTTAAACAAGAATGTATGCATCTTCAGCAAATTCGGTTAGGTTGATAAATAAAAAATAACGTAAAGTAATGTGCAGTATTTTCAGTCGTTTGTAACTATCGAGTAAAACCTGCAATTCTTATCTTCATTCATCAAATGTTGTGCATGATTTGCATTTTGCGTAACAAGAAATACAAATATCAATACAGTAGCCTTTACTTATTACACAAAGTCCGTTTAAGGTGTCATATAGTTTATATTTATGAAATGTTGTTTATAGACACACAGTTTCCTATCTTTTCTTGTCAAACTGAACCAGCAGGGAAAAGGAAACACATCTCGACTTGGATGTTCTTATTTATATATACACAGAATGATGTGGCGCAAGGTTTTATTTGCTGACTGTTTTTAGCAGAAATATGAACATTTTCTCTTTATGTATAAAACAATGCAGCTAATTTTGGCTAAAAGTTTATTAATTGATTGGTAGATAGTTAACGTCCAGTGGCAAATATAACATGCATGTGTTTGACGATAACATTTAAATGAGATATGCATATATCCTTCTTTGTTCTCGACTGATACGATGACTATGATTTTTTTAAGTGCTAACTCATTCGATAACAATCCGTAGGGAGACTACCTTTCTTTTATAAATCAGGCCGTTAGTTTTCTCGTTTGAATTGGTCCACATTTTCATGTCCGGCTGTTTTATAATAGCCGACTGTTGTGTGGGTTTTTCTCATTGTTGAAGGCCGTACAGGGGCCTATAATTGTTTATATCCACTTCATTTGAACTTGTTGATAGTTGTCTCATTGGCAATCATACCACATCTCCTTATTTTTATTCTGATGATTCTTAACAGATGAGACTTTTTTTTACTCTTAAATGCTAGGTACCTAGCGGAAAAACAACAAAATTCAAAAATACCGTAAAAAGTCTTTGGTTTCAACGAAACCGGAGATCGAACCCACAATCTCCCACACTCATAGCGAGTCATTAAGAACGATAAGTTAACATAAAGAAAAATGTGTACAATATTATTTAGATTACTTATAAAAGTTACATGTACTTAATAATAATGATACTTAATTAATTTACTGTGTTTTCTTTTTATTGTTTTGTGGGTACATCTTCATCAAATGTTAAAAGGAATTGCAACGGAACGAAAACGTGCTGAACTTAATAAAATCATTTTTAATTCTCCCTTTTGATTTGGTATGGGTATTACAGGTTGTAAAACAGGTATTATCATCGTATAAGTGTGAAAAACTTCCAAACCAATGCACAAATGGTGTAAACCGTAGGATTATTATAAGAGTTCACTCAGTTAAAATAAAACATAATTTCTTATGCTAATTACTTTTAATATCTTGGTTGAGCTTTTAGATTCCTGTTTAGTGTGTTGTGGACTGTTGTCTTTTCGTCTTTTTTTTTCATTTAGCTATTGTGTTCTCTTCAACTTTTGTTTTTTTATTGCCCCTTTGATGTTTTCTTCCTTTTTAAAATTTAAGTTCAAAATGTTGAAAATGTTTATTTAAGATTTAATCAAGATTTTAAGACTGAATATGACTCAAATATTTTATTTGAATATCGAAATTATTCATTTGTGCTAATAAAAAAACTTCATCTTTTTGCTTGAAACGTAACAGATAGTTAGCAATAAGAGCAACAACTGGCTGACTTATGGTAGGTTACCATGTTTTTCTATGGACTGTTATCTTGTGAATAAGACCGTTATAAATCCGACTAAGCGTATAAATCAGTGTATATTCATATAACACTCCGGAATATAGACGAACTATCCTTTTATTTGCTGATCTTGTGCAGTGAAAATGAAGGAATATGGTGTATTAATTCAAGACACAAAATCACTGCACGCACTTGGCGAAACTCAAAATCAAACGCTCTTATTGCTGTTATTCGTCTGCGTTTTATAGGCAAGGTAAAAAAAAACAAGACTAAATATATTGACCTATAAAAAATGAAATGGGCTATACATAAAAGTAAATTGCATATAAATTGAGTGCCAACAGAATTTAACACATCATATCGCGTCCAGTTTGGCCTTGCATCGATTTTCTTCAGTTCCGAAACTTGCGATGAGTCTCTGTAATGAGTAGTCAAAAGCAAAAGTCACAGTTATTATCATCAAAAATTATTTCGTAAAATATATCAATATCGTCCTTTCGATATTTGTTTATATCAAGAGTATCACAAGAACCAGTAGTTCAGCACATTAGTGCAGGGGTAAACCTAAATATATTGTTAAAAAAACTACGAGAGATTCATTTCGGAACGGGATTGTCACTTGTATTCAAAGTTCTCATACCTCGAACATGGTTTTTGGACACAAAATCCTTACACACAAAACAGGAACAGTGCTTATATTGAGATTCTTCTTCTCAAAATAACAGTGAGTCCTTCAGAACAAAGAAAAAAAATCACACCTAACTGCAAATTCAGATGACGGTCAGTCATACTTTGCCCACCAATCTCATTGTTAAACATGGAGACATTACAAACAGGGTATTGATAAAATTCTTATACCATGCAACAACTCAATTTAGACTTATTTGTTCTGGGTATTATGATACCAACAACTCAATTTAGACTTTTTTGTACTGGGTATTATTATACCAACAACTCAATTTAGACTTATTTGTACAGGGTATTTTGATACCAACAACTCAATTTAGACTTATTTGTACTGGGTATTATGATACCAACAACTCAATTTAGACTTATTTTTACTGGGTATTATGATACCAACAACTCAATTTAGACTTATTTGTACAGGGTATTCTGATACCAACAACTCAATTTAGACTTATTTGTACAGGGTATTCTGATACCTACAACTCAATTTAGACTTATTGTACAGGGTATTCTGATACCATGCAACAACTCAATTTAGACTTATTTGTACTGGTTATCATGATACCAACAACTCAATTTAGACTTATTTGTATATGGTATTCTAATACCAACAACTCAATTTAGACTTATTTGTACAGGGTATTCTGATACCTACAACTCAATTTAGACTTATTTGTACAGGGTATTCTGATACCATGCAACAACTCAATTTAGACTTATTTGTACAGGGTATTATGATACCAACAACTCAATTTAGACTTTTTTGTTCTGGGTATTATGATACCAACAACTCAATTTAGACTTTTTTGTACTGGGTATTATTATACCAACAACTCAATTTAGACTTATTTGTACAGGGTGTTATGATACCAACAACTCAATTTAGACTTATTTGTACAGGGTATTATGATACCAACAACTCAATTTAGACTTATTTGTACTGGGTATTATGATACCAACAACTCAAGTTAGACTTATTTGTACAGGGTATTTTGATACCAACAACTCAATTTAGACTTATTTTTACTGGGTATTATGATACCAACAACTCAATTTAGACTTATTTGTACTGGGTATTATGATACCAACAACTCAAGTTAGACTTATTTGTACAGGGTATTCTGATACCAACAACTCAATTTAGACTTATTTGTACAGGGTATTCTGATACCTACAACTCAATTTAGACTTATTTGTACAGGGTATTCTGATACCATGCAACAACTCAATTTAGACTTATTTGTACTGGTTATCATGATACCAACAACTCAATTTAGACTTATTTGTATATAGTATTCTAATACCAACAACTCAATTTAGACTTATTTGTACAGGGTATTCTGATACCTACAACTCAATTTAGACTTATTTGTACAGGGTATTCTGATACCATGCAACAACTCAATTTAGACTTATTTGTACTGGTTATCATGATACCAACAACTCAATTTAGACTTATTTGTATATGGTATTCTAATACCAACAACTCAATTTAGACTTATTTGTACAGGGTATTCTGATACCTACAACTCAATTTAGACTTATTTGTACAGGGTATTCTGATACCAACAACTCCACTATGTTTATTTGTACAGGATAAACTAATACCAACAACTCAACTAAGTTTATTTGTACACAAATCGGCGACTTTATGATTATTTAACACCATTAACACGGAATTTTTTCTGAAATCAATCCGATATTTAAGAAAAATACTGGACTTATTTTGAAGGAATTAGAATTGAATGATAATTTTGAAATAAGTTTTCATCGACTTGAATTAAATATAAAAAGGTTAACAAACGAGAGACGAGATATATCGTAATGTACGAGATAAGGTGATGGAATCTGTTTCACTAACGACTATTATATGTAGACAAACTTTAGACCGAATGAAGTGCTAAATATATTTATCTATCTGTTTAATCTATCTATAATTTCGTTAAATATTTGCCGCAGGAAGTTAAGCATACAGCTAAATAATTGTAAAAAATAAAAGTCTGTGGATTAGTATTGTCAAGTAGATTCATACATCCAAAGTAGGTCTCTATATTTGTGATGACAATTAGTAAAAGAATTGACCTGAACTATCTATAACCGTATTGTAAAACCTTGCAATCTCGGTGTTTGACAATATATTAAACTATATACCAATACTTGGTTTTCGTGTCATTTATGTACAACAATGCTATAACACCTTTCTCAAGGTGAATATTTTACATTATGAATATTCAGGAGTGGAAAGTTTTCCGCTATAAACATGACAAGAATTTGATAAATGTTTACCACATAATTGCAGTTTAAGCTTATCAATATTTTTCTATCATTAAACAAACCTTTACATGACAATGATTAAATCAAAAATTGGCTAACGACACATGTCTGGTTTCATCTATAGCAAAGGCTCTCTGTGATGCTCACCAAAAAATCTATTTATGTATGAATTCCATATAAAAATATACATGTAGTCTGTTGGAATCGTACTTATTTATTTATTAGAAAAATAACAGTAGTATTTCTCCAAATAAATATATGGTGTCCGCCTACAGATTAGGGTTTTCATGGACACAAATGTATACAGTAGCTCAAGAGATCTGCGAGTTTTAAAAAAGAATATA